AAACTCTTGCTCATTGCTGACAATTTGATCTTATATTTAGAGAACCCCAAAGACTCATCCACAAAACTCCTGGAAATGATCAAAAAAATACAGTAACATCTCAGGATATATAATCAATGTTCACTAATCAGTAGCCTTTGTATATGCCAACAACAGCCAAGTTGAGAAGCTAATGAAGGACACAATTCCCTTCTCAGTAGCTTCACCTAGGGATATACCTAAGAAAAGAGGTAAAGAACCTCTACAAAGACAATTATGAAACCCTAAGAAAGGAAATAGCAGAAGGTATTAACAAATGGAAGAATATACCATGTTTATGGCTAAGAAGAATCAACGTTACGAAAATATCTATACTTCCCAAAGCAATCTACAGATTCAATGCAATCCCCATTTAAATACCAACATCATACTTTCAAGATTTGTAAAAAATAATTCTTCATTTTGTATGGAACCAGAAGAAACCCTGTATAGCCAAGGCAATCCTTAGTAATAAAAATAAAGCCAGAGACATCACCCTACCAGACTTTAGACAATATTACAAGTCCATGGTAATGAAAACAACATTGTATCAGTACAAAAATAGAGACCATAAAGACATTTGGAACCAAATACAAAACTATGATATGAAACTAACATCTTATAGCCACCTGATCTTTGATAAACCAAACAAGAGCACACACTGGGGAAAAGAATTCCTATTCAATAAATGGTACTACTGGGAGAATTGGATAACAACATGTAAAAGACTGAAACTGGATCCGTACCTTTCACCACTTAAAAAATTGATTTGAGATGGATAAGAGATTTAAATCTAAGGCATGAAACAATAAAAATCCTTGAAGAAAGTGTGGGAAAAACACTTGAAGATATTAGCCTGGGGAAAGATTTTATGAAGACTTTTGTGGCAACTGCAACAACAAAAATAAATAAATGGGCTGGGTGTGGTGGTTTACCCTATTGCCTGAGCTCATGAGTTTAAGACCAGCCTGAGCAAAGGCGAGACCTCATCTCTAAAAATAGCTGAGTTGTGGCGGGTGCCTGTCGTCCCAACTACTTGGGAGGCGGAGGCAAGAGTATTGCTTGACCCCAAGTATTTGAGGTTGCTCTGAGTTGTGACATTACGGCACTTTACAGAGGGCAAGAAAGTGAGACTCTGTCTTAAATAAATAAATAGGACTTAATTAAACTGAAAAGCTGCACAGCTAAGGAGACAAGAACTGAAGCAAATAGACAATCTTCAGAATGGGAAAAGATATTTGCATATTATGAATCAGACAAAGGTTTGATAATAAGGATTTACAGAGAACTCTAATCAACAAAAAGAGCTAACAACCTCATATATCATTCAACAAGAGACATAAATAGAACCTTTTCTAAGAAAGACAGACGAATGCCTAACAAACATATGAAAAAATGCTCATTGTCACTGATCATCAGAGAAATGCAAATCAAAATCACCCTGAGATATCACCTAACCCCAGTAAGAGTAGCCCACATCACAAAGTCCCAAAGCTGCAGATGTTAGTGCAGATGTGGAGAGAGGGGAACACTTTTACACTGTTGGTGGGACTGCAAACTCATACAGCCTTTTTGGAAAGAAGTATGGAGAATCTTTAAACATCACACATTAGATCTCCCATTTGACCCCACAATCCCACTACTGGTATCTACTCAGAAGAAAAAAAAAAACAGAACCTTTTGTCATAAGGATATTTGCATTAGACTATTTATCACAGCTCAATTTACAATTACCAAGATGCAAAAACAACCTTAATGCCCATAAACTCAGGAATGAATTAACAAATTGTGGTACATGCACACCATTGAGTACTATTCAGCCATAAAAAAGATAGTGACTCCATATCTTTTGTAATATCCTAGATGGAGTTGAAACACATTCTTCTTAGAAAACTACCACAACAATGGAAAAGCAATTATCCAATGTACTCAATACTAATATGAAGCCAGTAGATGATCTAATGCATGCCCACATAGAAAAAAAACTCATTTCATTCAAGTTGGGTAGGGGTAACAAGGGAGGGGTGCTCTCACTCAATGGGCATGGGGTAGGGGTGTTTGGCACACCTCTTGTATATGGGACACAACCACAAAAGGAACTCTACCTAACAAAATCAAATATTTTGACCTGGTTGTTTATTTATTTATTTATTTCTGAGACAGAGCTTCAAGCTGTCGCCCTGGATAGAGTGCTATGGCATCATAGCTCACAGCAACCTTCAACTCCCAGGCTTAAGTGATTCTCTTGCCTCAGCCTCTCAAGTAGCTGGGACTATAGGCACCTGCCACAACACCTGGCTATTTTTTGGTTGTAGTTGTCATTGTTGTTTGGCAGGCCCAGGCTGGATTCAAACCTACCAGCTCTGGTGTATGTGACTGTTGCCTTAGCCGCTTGAGCTACAGGTGTAAGCCTGACCTGGTTGCTTATACCCTCACATTAACCTGAAATAAATTTACTTTTCTTTTTTTTTTTTATTTGAGACAGATTCTCATTATGTTGCCCTTGGTAGAGTACCGTGTTGTCACAGTGCACAGACACCTCAAACTCTTGGGCTCAAGCAATTCTCTTGCCTCAGCCTCCCAAGTAGCTGGGACTATAGGCACCCAGCACAACACCTGGCTATTTTTTATTGCAGTTATCATTGTTGGTTAGCTGGCTTGGGCTGCGTTCAAACACACCACCTTTGGTATATGTGGCTAGTGCTGTAACCACTGTGCTACAGACACCGAGTCATAAATTTACTTTTCAAAAAAAAAAAAAAAAATACACAGGAACTGTGAATTATTAAACTCCTCTAATTAATGAACAATTATTGATTATGTTGTCTTACCTCCAGTTTTACATATTACTACCTTGATTAAATATTCTCTTCATCAAAGAGATGAAACAAGATGGGAAACAAGCACATCTAAGATATCTCAAAGTAAAATATATACATGCAGAGCAGTAATTTCTTTATACTTGACCATGATTCCAATTGTCTCTTCACTCACACAAACATCTCCACTACAGCTCAATTTAGTGATTTTTTTAGTCATAAAAACAGGTTTATCTCATAGTAAAAGGCAAGTAAAATTCTAAGGAAACAGATTTTTTTCTCAAATGTTTAATTTTTTTCCAAATTTCTTGCCATGAGAGTTCAATACTTTTTAAAAAGAAAGGCTATGTTTAAAAACTTATAATATAGAGCCAGACATAGTAGCTCATGCCTATAATCCCAGGACTTTGGAAGGCTCAAGCAAGAGGATCACTTGAGACCAGGAATTCTAGACCAGCCTGAGCAAAATAGTGAGTCCTGTCTCCACAAAAATGTAAGAAAAATTAGCCAGGCATGATGGCATGCACCCATAGTCCCAGCTACTCAAGAGAGTAAGGCAAGGGGATCACTTGAGCCCAGGAGTTCAAAGCTGTAGTAAGATCAAACTCTTGGGCTTAAATGATTCTCTTGCCTCAGCCTCTCAAGTAGCTGGGACTACAGGTGCCCGCCACAAGTCCAGCTAATTTTAGAAACAGGGTCTCACTCTTGCTCAGGCTGGTCTCAAACCCCTGAGCTCAGGCAATCTTCTACCATTCCTGGCCACTTCTACCATGTTTTGATTTCCTTTGTAATTTATTTGTTGAAGAATCTGGTTTTGGTCTTGTGGTTCCTTATATTCTGAATTTTAGTGACCACATTCCTAAGGCGTAGAACACGTTTCTCTATCTTCTTCCTATAAATTGGCAATTGGCGTTAGAAACATGATCAGATTTAAGACCAACTTTAAGGGCAAACTTATTTCATGAGTGATACTGTGTTCTTTCATTAAGAGATACGAAGTCTGATTATTTCTATTTCTGATATGCTATCAGTATCAATGTTCAGTACCTACATCCAATGGTTCGTTATGGGGCTCCAAAAGGGTAAGTATTCTATCCTGCCTTCTTCATTTATTCACTGAATACCTTTTTTTTAAAGAGAAATATACCTCCATCTAGCACTACCTATTGGTATAATTCTTAAAAGGTGAGATAAGAGCTTCTTTCCTTTAAATTTCAAATAAGTTCATTCTCTAGCAGCTTCCAATTATGAAAAAATTGCCATTAGTATTAAGAATTTATGGTTCGGCGCCTGTGGCTCAAGTGGTTAAGGTGCCAGCCACATACACCTAAGGTGGCGGGTTCAAATCCAGCTAGGGCCATCAAACAACAATGATGGCTGCAACCAAAAAATAGCCAGGCATTGTGGCAGGCACCTGTGGTCCCAGCTACTTGGGAGACAGAGGCAAGAGACTCGCTTGAGCCCAGGAGTTAGAGGCTGCTGTGAGCTGTGATGCCACAGCTCTCTACCCAGGGGGAGAGCTTGAGGCTCTGTCTCAAAAAAAAAAAAAAAGTATTAAGAATTTATGGAATTGTGCATATTTCATATGTTGTAATACATTGCAGTTATATCTGTATTGATGCTAATTTTTGACTAACTGGAGCCTTTTCAAATTGGCTACTCTTCCCTGACCACCATATCTAAAATAACCCTGTTCACTCATTATAATTCTCCATACTCTTACCTTATTCACTTTTCTGCATAACAATTACTTTGCGATATTTAGGAATCCATCTGTTTGTTTACTTGCTTACTATAGGACTCCCCTACTACAAATGACTCCATGAAAAGAGGGCAATGAAGAAATATTACATAAAAGTCAAAATATTAATATAAAAGATGAGCTTGAAAAGGCATTAGATCCAAAATACAGGCAAAATGATTATCACTAGAGAAGAAAGTTTTCACCTATTGAGATGGGAAGGAAATGTGAAAGAGAAGAAACAAGTAGTAAGTGGAAGTACAGATAAAATTTCTTTGGTGCCTCATGCTGAGAAGATCTAAGTTTTCTTCCCAAGTTTCAGTTCTATTCTTTACAATCAACATCTAAGGAGTGTGTTTCCTCCCCTATCAGCAGGTCTCTGCTATGCCACAGTGGCTTGTCTGTGCCTGATTGGTGCTTACCCAGGCTCCATCTTCTTTTCTCATCCCTCACCACCATCCAGGGCTCCTTCCCTTGTTCCAGCAAGGTAATCACATCTGGCTTAGAAATGGAACAGCCTGCTTGAAAGAAAATAATAGAACATAATAAAGAATTGATTTGATCAAGCCTTCAGAATAAAGAAGACTATAAGATTAAAAAATTTTCAGAATAGAGTACTTTAGGATCACAAGGAAAAACAAGAACAGAGAGGTAGGGACATGATCTTATTTTAATTTAAACTCATATAGGGTCTGTCTCATCAGGGGAAATAATACTTGAGAACACTGGTTTCAAATCTTGCCTCTGTTATCTACATCGCTCTATGCCTCAATTTTCTCAGTTGTAAGAAGGGGATAATAGTAATGGGTATGCACAGGGCTGTTATGAGGTTTGATTTAATATAAATAAAGTCTTTAGATAAGTGCTTACTACATGTTGAGCATTACATATATTTATTAGATACTATTTTTGATATTATTTTGCTAACAGAAAAATAATAAGTTTCCTGTCAGGTTACATGTATTCATCCTATGTTGAATGCAAAGCTCACAGATTTTAAACTTTTAATCACAATTTAATTAAAGGATCATGTTGTCCTATAGGAAAATGAACATGTCCACTTCAGTTTGAACAAAGTGTTGATTCAACCCAGTATCATACACATTGCATAGCTCTTTTACTCGGTATGTAGAACCAGATACCTCCATTTTCCTATTCTCAACGTAGGTGAGTCTGTGAATAATATGGACCATCTGTCGTAGTATACAACCAGATTATTTTCACATTGGTTTTGCTATGAATATCTAAGAATTTCTATCCAGTTGTCATTAAAGAGAGGTAATAACAAAAAATACAAAGAATAATAGAAAAGACAAAGAAAGATAAAAAGGTCATTGAATTATTGGGGAAGATGAAGGTATCTATTGCCAAACCACAAAGCAGATATTCAGCTAGGTTTTAGAAAGACTGTGAATTTCCAAATCATTTGATAAAGATAAGCTTACCCAATGATACCAAGTTGCTATAGTTCTCTAATATCACATCTCTGTACAAATTCCTCTGATACGAGTTCAGACATTCCCACTCTTCCTGAGAAAAGTCTACAGCCACATCTCTAAACATCACCAAATCCTGAAATGATAAACCCATGTGTTATTTGTAAGATTACAGAAAATATTTTGAAGATAGAGAAAGGATCTCAATGATAGATGCTCATTTCACAGATCAAATGAATAGGCTGGAGCTGGAGAGCTGTGATGTGGTTAGGGGGCACTAAGAAAATGAGTGTGACTGAAGCAGAATATGTTCTTGAAGATTTCTACTAGCATAGACCTGGGGTTGGCAAATGGTTTATGTAAAGGATTGATCTGCTGCATATTCTTCTTTCTTTTTTTTTTTTAAATAATTCTTTCAAAATGTAATTAGTTTGCAGGCTGTACCAAAACAGGCCCCAGCCTGAATTTGACTCAAGGGCCAAATTTGCAGTATTAGAAGTTTGCCTACCACTGCTATAGCCAAATTCCTATGTACTATAGTATTAACTAATTTTATACATTTCTAGACATGTTTCAGTAATTATCAGAACTTCCCAATTAATTGCAATAGGTTCATAAGAACAATGGCTCAAGCCTGTGATCCTAAGTCAGCAGTTCTCAACCTGTGGGTCATGACCCACAGGATCTGCATTAAAGGGCTGTGGCATTAGGAAGGTTGAGCACTGTCCTAAGTGCCTTGAGAGGCTGAGGCTGGAGGATCACCTGAGGCCAGAAGTCCAACTTGGCGAACATAGTGAAACTCTGTCTCTACAAAATAATTTTTTTTTTTTTTAGAGACAGAGTCTCACTTTATTGCCCTTGGTAGAGTGCTGTGGAGTCACAGCTCACAGCAACCTCCAACTCCTGGGCTTAGGTGATTCTCCTGCCTCAGCCTCCCAAGCAGCTGGGACTACAGGCGTCTACCACAACGCCCGGGTATTTTTTGTTGCAGTTTGGCTGGGGCCGGGTTTGAACCCACCACCCTTGGTATATGGGGCCAGTGCCCTACTCAGTGAGCCACAAGCATTGCCCTCTACAAAATAATTTAAAAACAAAACAAACAAAACATTGCTTGCAAAGGGTGTAAAAATTCTCAACAAATGTGACTTATCTATCCTCTTTTTCTTTTAAGGATTGAAAGGAAAAAAAATGAATGGAATTTCTCCCCTCAAATGAACTACAAATCTCTATTTAAAAAAATAATAATAATTTATTCCAGATCTAACTTTATCATTATTTGTATCACTCACATTTTTCCTTATAACAAATCCTTTGTTGAATGCTTTAAATTTAAACAATAAAATAGTTCCCCTTATACTGAAGGTTTTGCCTTCTACCATTTCAGCTACCTATGGTCAACCTTAATTCAAAAAATATTAAGTGGAAAATTCTAGAAATAAACCAATTATAAGTGGGCGGTGCCTGTGGCTCAGTGAGTAGGGCCGGCCCCGTATACAGAGGGTGGTGGGTTCAAACCTGGCCCTTGCCAAACTGCAACAAAAAAATAGCTGGGTGTTGTGGTGGGCACCTATAGTCCCAGCTACTTGGGACGCTGAGGCAAGAGAATCACTTAAGCCCAAGAGCTGGAGATTGCTGTGAGCTGTGATGCCATAGCACTCTACCGAGTGAGGGTGACGTGAGACTCTATCTCTAAAAAAAGAATAATAGAATAAACCAATTATAAGTTTTCATTTATTTATTTATTTAGACAGAGGATTGCTCTGTTGCTCAGGTTAGAGTGTCATGGCCTCACAGCAACCAATCAAATTCTGAGCTCAAGCAATCCTCCTGCCTCAGTCTCCCAAGAGGCTGAGGCCACATACAGTGTGTACCACTATGCCTCGCTCCTTTTTCTTGTGTGTGCGTGTGGGCCAGAATGTCATTTTTCTATTTTTAGTAGAGATGGGGTTTCACTCTTGCTCAGGCTGGTCTCAAACTCCTGACCTCAAACAATCCTTCTGCCTTACCCTCCCTGAATGACATAATTACAGGAATGAGCCACCATGCCCAGACATAATTATTTTCAACTGCTTGCCATTCTGAGTAGTGTGATAAAAATCTCACACTATCCATTCTACTCTACCCAAGATATGAATTATCCCTCAGTTCCAGCACATTCATTGGATATGCTACATGCCCATTAGTCATTTAGTAGAGCTCACATCCAAAAAGCATAGCATATATAGGGTTGGGTACTGTCCAAGGTCTCAGGTATCTGCTAGGAAGGGGTTATGGAACAAGTTTACCTCATGGATATGTAACACTTAATAATGATTATATTTAGATATTTCTATACTTGTTAATATATTAATTTATATTTAGAATTTACATTACACAAAATCTCTAAAACGGCAACGTTTAATATGGTAGCTTAACAACATCTGATTATTGAGCATCTGAATTATGACTAGTCCAAATTTACATGTTTGGAAGTGTAACATACATTCCACTTTAGATAGTGAAGACTTCAGATAGAAAAAAGAATGTAAAATGTCTCAATGATTTTTATGTTAATTATACTTTGAAATTATAACATTTTAGATATACTGGTTAAATAAAACATTGAAATTAATTATAGCTGTTTCCTTTCACTTTTTAATGTAACTACTTAAACATTTAAGATCACGTATGTGCTCTGCATATTAATCTATATTTTAAAAATGTTGCTAATTTTAAATTACATATGTAGCTTGTTTTATAGTTCTTGTGGACAGTGTTATTCTTTTTTTTTTTTTTATTTTGAGACAGAGCCTCAAGCTGTCCCCCTGCGCAGAGTGCCGTGGCATTACAGCTCACAGCAACCTCCAACTCCTGGGCTCAAGCGAGTCTCCTGCCTCCGCCTCCCAAGTAGCTGGGACCACAGATGCCCGCCACAACACCCGGCTATTTTTTGGTTGCAGCCGTCATTGTTGTTTGGCAGGTCCGGGCTGGGGATTCGAACCCGCCACCTTAGGTGTACGTGGCTGGCGCCTTAGCCGGTTGAGCTATAGGCGCCGAGCCGACAGTGTTATTCTAAGGTGTTCTCTAGTCCTAAGAGTCTCAGATCAAATACACCCCACTAGGGACTTCATTTTTGCTCCACCACTGCTCTACACAGAGATGGAGCACAAAAAGACACAGAATGATTTGGTCAGCGCAAGTTCAGAATAACAAATGAGAATGTTCACATAATCTGAAAAAAAAATGACAGAATTGCAAATAGAAACACCAACTCACATGAGCCATGATTTCAGAATTTCAAGAACTGGTAGGTTTTCCTGAAAGTTCATTTATTGGATAAGCAGGGTGGACATAAGCTGGAGCTGGGGAAAGAATGTAAAGCCATGAGAAAAGAATCCTCAGAGATTTTGCATTTTATTTTATTTTATTATTTTTTTGTTGTTGAGACAGAGTCTCACTATGTCACCCTTGGTAGAGTGCTGTTGCGTCATAGCTCACAGCAACCTCAAACTCTTGGGCTTAAGTGATTCTCTTGCCTCAGCCTCCCAAGAAGCTGGGACTACAACCTGCCACAATGCTCAGCTTTTTTTTTTGTTGCAGTTGTCATTGTTGTTTAGTAGGCCCAGGCCGGGTTCAAACCCACCAGCCTCTGTATGTGGCTGGTGCCACAGCCACTGTGCTATGGGCGCTGAGCCACTTCCAAATTTTAAAATCTATATACCTTCTCTATTCGTATATGCAACCCTCCTCCTTAATAAACACACACAAATTTAGACAGACAAGATAGTTTAGACAAATGTATGTCCTCCCCCAAACCACAGAGAAATCAGCTGCACAAGGAATAGACACAAAGCAGAGACTCTCCTGTATTAAAGCATATGCCCAGATGTGTCAGCAGCAGCTTCCAATTAGTACCAACCCTCATCCCAGACATGCCAGTCTGAACCTGAAAATGGGACCTATACTGAGCAGATCTTCCTTCCTCCCTCCATTGTCACCTTTTCAGCTGAGAAGAGTGAATTAGTGAAACCTGAGCATGGATAATTTTCTAGGAAGTAGAAATAACCCATCAACTCATTAGTTAAAACCCACCAGTAACTAAAGAGATGCATATTAAAGGAAATAGATTTGCAGATTTAAAAAATTTGTGGTATCTCATATATAGTGAGGCTTTGGTTAAATGGATACTCAGTTGTATGATTTATAAGAACGAAATGGTGTGTGGATATGAAGTGTTTATAATGAGATCAAAAAATCTAAAAGAACCTAAATATCCTTCAACAATGTTAAATAAGTTATCGGGCATTCCACACAACAGAAAACACTCACTAAACACTCATTAAAAATGAAAGTAAGCTAGGGCGGCGTCTGTGGCTCAAAGGAGTAGAGCACCGGCCCCATATGCCAGAGGTGGCGGGTTCAAAACCAGCCCCAGCCAAAAATTACAAAAAAAAAAAAAAAATGTACCCTGGTAACTAGGACACCCAGCAGGACGGGAAAGGTGA